CAATAAACCTCTGAAAAACCTAAGTCTGAGAGATAATGACAGACTTCGAAGCAAACGGCCTGAAGTAAAACTACATTCTAACCAGCATCTTACTAGACTGGGAAGAGAGCTACAGTAAAAGAACAAGTTTCCAGTTTTTCAAAAACTCTTCTATTTAGTGCTTTCATTTTAAACCCATGCGTTCTTCCCAGGGGAGGTCGCACCATAACCCCAGCTTTTCTTTTGCTTCTGTAGTTGTGGTGTTTCATAAGGCCTGATGCTTTAATTATTCTCAGATATATAGTTATTTTTTAAGTCAGTGTTTAAAAATTCATACTACACAGCAGGAGTGTATATTTTTGGGAAATAGTGCTTTAAAAGTGTTCTCACTGTCTGCGTCGTTTGCACGCTCAGTGTGTTTGCATAATCCCACCTAGCCCTCCTTAACATTCTGGAAACTGGTCCACATACTTCATAATTGCAATGCCCTCGTGATATCTTTACTTTCCAGCTTGTTCCGTTAGTCTCTTTTATGAAGTTTGGGGGGGGGTCCCCAGTGGGCACCTAAATACTGAATGACTTCCTCCATATAGCTAGAGGACATGGCACAGTTTCAGGACTCAGGTTTAGGAGTCCAAAGAACTGTGCGGTGATCCTGCTTGCCAGCTCCCGACATGGTGGACCAAAGCTTGGTTCTTAGGCTCCTGTCGCCTCTATTGTTAAAAGTGGACAAAGAGGCCAGAGGTGATGGCACACGCCTTTAATCCCAGCATTCAGGAGGCAGAGGCAGGCGGATCTCTGAGTTCAAGGCCAGCCTGGTCTACAGAGCGAGATCCAGGATGGGCAGGGCTACACAGAGAAACAATGGGCGGAAAAAAAATGGATAAACAGTACAGAAGATGTGAGCATTGAGAACACTGAAGTGTGGTGAATATGATAAGATAAAAAGGTCAGTTTTTTTTTTTTTTTAAAGATTTATTTATTTATTATGTATACAGTGTTCTGTCTGCATGTATGCCTGCAGGCCAGAAGAGGGCACCAGATCTCATTACAGATGGTTGTGAGCCACCATGTGGTTGCTGGGAATTGAACTCAGGACCTCTGGAAGAGCAGTCGGTGCTCTTAACCTCTGAGCCATCTCTCCAGCCCAAAAAGGTCAGTTTTTTAATCTACTTTTTTTTTTTTTTTTTTGGTTTTTCAAGACAGGGTTTCTCTGTGTAGCTTTGCACCTTTCCTGGATCTCGCTCTGTAGACCAGGCTGGCCTCGAACTCACAAAGATCCGCCTGCCTCTGCCTCCCGAGTGCTGGGATTAAAGGCGTGCGCCACCACCGCCCAGCTTGAATCTACTTTTAAAAAGGAACTACTTGTTTTAAATAGGATAAGTAATGAATTTTTTTTGTCTGAGTTTATCAAATGTTACTGGACTGGACAGTGTTATGTATTAATGGGTTTTTTTGTCTGAATCTGTCAAATGTTAATGGACTAGACATGTTAATGTAATCTTGACTGTGTATATTGTATATACTTATTGGATATAATTTTTCTTGTATTGGTTATAAGCTTTTTTAATTTTAGACAAAAAACGGGGAAATGTGGTTGTATTGTGTTCCCCAAAATATTGTGCACGCTAATAAACTTATCTGGGGTTAGAGACAGAATAGTCACAATATTAAACATAGAGGATAGGCAGTGGTAGCACACACCTTTAATCCTAGCATTCCAGAGGCAGAAATTCATGTGTTCAAGGAAACAGCCAAGCATGGTGACTCACGACTTTAATCCCAGAAAGCGAGCCTTTAATCCCAGGGAGTGGTGGTAGAAAGCAGAAAGGTATATAAGGCATGACGACCAGAAACTAGAAGCATTTGGCTGGTTAAGCTTTTAGGCTTCTAGTAACTGTTCAGCTGAGATTCATTCTGGAAGAGGACTCAGAGGCTTCCAGTCTGAGGAATCAGGATCAGCTGAGGGATTGGCAAGGTGAGGAAGCTGTGGCTTGTTCTGTCTCTCTGTTCTTTCAGCGTTCACCCCAATACCTGGCCTCAGGTTTATTTTTATTAATAAGACATTTTAAGGTTCCTGCTACAGTGTGGCATGTATGTCCAGTCAGAACCTCCTGGGAAGTTGCCCTTATCATTCATTCCCTCAGCTTCCTTCTGCCCCTGCTTCCCCCCGACTTTGTTGTTATTGGTTTGATATAAGAAAGGGCTCATTATGTAGACAGTGCTGGGTCTTGAGGTCCTACTCCCTACTGCCTCTCCCTCTGGTGTTCTTAAGGTTCAGCATTCTTTGCAGGTACAAGTACTCTCAAGACAAGCAAGTCCCTGCCACAGAGCTACACTCTCAATCCCAGTAGGTAAATTGAAGCGATTTTTTTTCCCAACAAGTCAAAGCCTGCCTGTATGCAAAAGCTATCAAATCCTGGCTAAGAAAGGTCTTCAGTCCCTATTTCCTCAGAAACTATATTAATATAACTGAGTTGGGAACCTAGTTCTCTTAACCTGGCTTAATAAAGGCTTGTCTTTGTGTCAAAGCCAATTTTCTGACTAAAAGTTTGTTTTGTTTTAATAGGGTTTCTTTGCGTTGCCCTGGCTGTCCTGGAACTAGCTCTGTTGAGCAGGCTGGCCTTGAACTCAGAGGTCTACTTGCCTCTGCTTTCTGCAAGGCTGCCACCTGACCAGATCCACCTGCAAGTGCTGGGATTAAAGGCATGTGCCACCACCTGGGATGGAAGGGAAGCTCTTTAAGACTCAAAAAGTAAAGAACTCTGAAGCTTCAGAAGTCCCTAAAACTGACCAGATGTCCTAGCCCTCTTGCCCACCAAGCTTACATAAGCAGTAAAGACTACTGAGAGACACTTAGGCAAGTGTAACTGGCTGGAAGAGAAACTCTTCAGTTTGTTGAACTGCCTGCAAGTTGTGCAATATTTCCAGGGTCCCAGCTTTTGTAAGGGATCAACTGTGGTGGTGTGGGCTTTTGGTAATGTTATCTTTTAGTCATTTCTGCTCCTGTAAGTAATCCCAATAAAAGCCAGGCAGTGGAGGCAACGGCTTTAATCTGGTCTACAGAGTGAGTTCCAGGACAGCTAGGGCTACACAGAGGAAATCCTGTATTGAGAAACAAACAAAAAAAGAATGAAATGGCTGGCATATACATGTAGTAAGGATAAGGTGACACTTTTTGCCCGCCTGCCATAGGGGTCAGGATCTTCCTTATTTCTTCCCATGATGCTCTAGAAAAGCACACAAAGTGGGTGTGTCAAGAACACAAAGTGAATTATAATGAAGGCAAGTGCTTTTTAAAAATACCACTGTTCATTAGTGCACGTGCGGCAAAATGCCCTGGTGCTTTGAGTGGGAACAACCCATGTATGAATTGTCAGCCAGATGACACAGCTAAGATATAACCACAGTTCCTTTTGTGTGCATCAGTCTTCCGTGGTTTGGATTTGCTATGTAGCCAAAGATGATACTGACTGGGATTACAGGTGTGACACCAGATCCCACCAGTAACTTCATATCCAACTCCTTGCTACTAGAAATCAACTATTCTGGCCCTGTTCCCAACTACTTTTTTTAAAAAAATATTTTATGCACATTGGTGTTTTACCTGCATGTATTTCTGTGTGAGGGTGTCAGATCTTGGAATTACAGTTGTCAGCTGCCATTTTGGGTGCTGGGAATTGAACCCAGGTCCTCTGGAAGAGCAGTTAGTGCTCTTAAACGCTGAACCATCCCTGTGCTCCCCTCTCTCAAATTACTTGTCTTGTTTCATTTTGGCAGGTACCCGAGAGGATTAGTGAGTTAGACAGCAAGACGAAGTGGCTGATCTGACAGAACCTGTTCTCAGCCTTGTTACCAATTAAGTCTCTTTTTGGCCTCTTAGAACAGGAATTGTGAGATTCAAAGTTACATTTTTTAATTTTGAATTATGCCTGACAAACCCATGAAACCAAAATGCAATCTACAAGCCCCTTGCCCTGAAATGCTGGATGTTGCTTATGGCAGCTAACCACGTTCATTGCCCTAATCATTTGATCGTCTGCAGTATTGTGCACTACCCCGTGGGCCGGAATTTCACAGGCTGGAGGTAGGTCAGGAGGATGTTTGCTTGGCCAACTGGACCAAATGGGAAATGTAATGAATTAATAGGTTTTCCTTAAGGTGCTACAAACTGATCCTAGGTGTTTTCCTAGGAACCTGGGTATGGGATGTGGCCAGAGCTCACACTCCTGGCCAGTGTTTAAAGCTTGCTTCAAAGTTGGCTTTAACTGTGTAGTGGTCGTTTTCTGCAGGCTCTCTACATACATGAATAGACTTACATGAATAGAACATGGCTGTTTTCATTTGGTAGCCAAAATTTTGGATTATCCCATGTGAGGACATCATAAAGCCCAGGGATTATTAACACCCTCTTTTAAGCAAATGGTGTTGGAAGACAAGCCTTTCATAGGCTACAGTGAGGCCAGAGTCATCTAGGGGACTACACAAACAGCAGCTGAAGTTTCCTGAGACTTGAACAATTTCTGGGAGGGCCATGAACAAGACAGTCCTTGCAGTAGCTCTTTCTACACATACCGACTGCCCAAGTTTGTTCATTGTCTGGGACCCTGTCACCCACTTAGAGGACAGAGCCTGGGTCCCCAAGTCAGGCCCCCAGCCAGCTAAGTGTGAGGCTAGCCAGCCTTCATGGCAGCAAGGACAGAGCCTAGGACTTGTCCAGGCTTGTTCAAATATAACTGTAAACCCCCACCAGAAATTTCAATTGTTCCATACCCTCACCCAATCATAGGACAGAGACTTGTGGTACCCTGCTTGTTTTTCCCTTTAAAAACCCCTCCCTCAGAGGGCAAGGCTGTCATCCACCTGCTGTTTCAGGACAGCAGCTTGCTTGCTCCGGATAAACTGTGTGGTCTTGTGATGTGGTACAGCACTGCCAAGCCTTATAGACCCTAATTCCTAGGACCCGCCCAAACAAAGGCAAGTAACATTCACTTTCAGTACTAAACAGATGAACCACACCACAAATTCTAAAGACTTTAATTAAGAAAATGAAGACACACAACTTCAAATTGTCAAAATTGTACGTAGAGGGAGCAGAGATGTCTTTACATCCTTGAAGATTTGGATTCCTGTAAAATAAGTTTCAATTAGGCAAATGTATGCAGCATGCCCAATGCACCCACACCCTCCTTTCTTCAGTGTTAAGGCACACTTGTTACACCGACCATACAGCTTGTCTAATCACTGTTGGGTTCCTCCAGCCTGCCCCCATACTCAGCGCCAACAATCTGAAGGGGCTACCTACCATTCACATGCTCCTCATTCTTTTCCTCAGACCTAGAAATTAAGAGACAAGCCACCTTATGCCTTTAATCAATCGACAATTCTTCCCTGTCTGTATACAGAAACTCCATCCCTCAGACAGTTCCTTCTGGAACAAATTTTCCTCTTCTCCCCCAGCCAGCCCCAGTGGGTTCACCTTTTCAGGCTCTGGTGCTAGGACAGGAAGTAAGACGTGTGAATGTTTCTTCATGGGGAAATTATAGTTAAGTACACCTTACATCTAAGTTTTCTTACCTCATTCCAGCCTGGCCTTGCGTGAAGACAGTTTTTATTTCCCTGCAAGATAGACCAGAAAGTGGGGCCATTATCCCTTTTGCTTAGAAGAAAACTATTTGTAATGGGAGCTCATTTTATAGAGATCTTGTGCTAATGTTTCTTAATTGATCTAGGGTGAGCTCACAACTCAGTAAATACCTTTCTTCACAGCTATCAGACTGGGGCGGTATTCAACTCATCACTGGTGAGCAAGAATTCACTAGATCAAAGCATTGCACAATGATAGCATTTATATAGCAAACAGCATTACAAAAGCATATTTACCTGCCATGGTTCCTTGTCTTTAGGCAAAACACCAAATCTGAAACAACATGGTCAATGTTTAAATCATGCAACAAACTGTTCCCATCTAACCCATTTTTCTCAGATAATTCAGATTTCCAAGTCTCAACAGCAATCATCAGCCGAACGAGATTCTATGAAAGTCATCATATATGGTAAGTGCCTTTAGGAACTTTGAAACCCAATGTTACATGCATGGGTACACACTAGCTTTACTTACCTCTGTACCAACAGGTATGTTTCTGCTAACAGAACCTGAGGGGGGGAAAACAAACTGTTTAACGAAAGGCTGGATACAGGTACCCAGAGACACTCTGCTACTCAGTTTCTCAGGTGTTCATATGTTTTCACTGGCAGTCATAGTGAGCTAGTTCAATTCATCATAGAAACTGCCTTCTTGAACAAACCCCATCCAAAAGGAAAAAAACCAACTAACCTCTGAATGCTGGAGATTCGTGGTATACAGGAATACACGCCTCCTGAATCAAGAAAGCTAATTAGATAAAAACCCAGAAATAGTTGCTACCCATCTTAGTCTTCCTTCTTGAGGCAGCATTTCCCGGGAACTAACGAGGTCAACCTGCCCCTGCCTGCTGAGTGCTGGGATTATAGGTGTGCAGCACCACCATGTCTGGCTATCTTACTATTCTTAACAGACAGCCAGGAACTCTAAATATATGGTTTTGTTCTTTGGTTCCTATGGATCCAATTCTCTTCCAGGCTGTTACCCAACTGGCAAAATATTGAGCACTCCGATTTGGATTGTGTGTACTTAAGTACCTAGGACAAATAGGGAAGCAAATGAAATATCAAAGAAACAGGGTGCTTGAGGGATGGCTCAGAGGTTAAGAGCAACGTTTGTTCTTCCAGAGGTCTTGATTTCAATTCCCAGCAACCACATGGTGGCTCACAACCATTTGTAGTGAGAGCTGGTGCCCTCTTCTGGCCAAAGTAACACTGTATACATAACAAACCTTAAAAAAACCCGAAAAACAGAATATTGTTTAAAAGGATGGCTTGCTTGCTTTGGTGACAAACCCCATTAGTTATCTAAACAAGCTCAACTTCATAAATAAGGAAAATGACCTCACCTTTAGACAAATCATCAGGACAACCTGGGAATGAGTAACAAGCAGTTATTTTTCAACCATCAAGATGGAGCAATATTCCTTCATTACCACTAACTGCCATCAGAACTCTAACATGCTATTAATTCACACCTTCACAGAGCATCAGTGCATTGATTCAAATCATCTGACAGTGACTTGGTTTTTAAGAACTTAGTAAGATGGAGTTTTCTAGAAATAAGTGGAGCACACGAGCTCTAAGAGGGCAGTGTGCTGCTTCAATGGTTTTTCCAGAGATGAGAATGCCCTAGCCTCATTAGGACAGTTACCTGTATTCATCCTGGGATGTAGTTTGAGTCCTCAGAATTGAGTTACAGGATGCTGGACACAGGAAAACCAAACCATTACTTAATTCAATCATAGCCGCCCCAGCACTCTCTCCATCCATTTTCAGCCCACTTTTCAGTAGAAAGATGACATCACTAGAATTCAGCCATATGCTTGTCATTTACACTCATCATTAAGTGGTCATTTAAATGTGCTCCCTCCTAAGTGTGCATAAACCATGTTTACCCACCTTGACTACCAGCAAAATGTTCTTTTGTAAGAGTAACCTAGTCTGGCTCCAAAGTGTAAAATCCGTTGAGATTAACCATATCTGAGTAAGAAAAAAGAAAGAAAACACCTCAGTAACAGACCTTACTCCAAACCAAACCCAAATATCTGCTGTAGACTGTGCCACTCAGAGAACTGTTTTCCTTTCTCCACTACACCATCAGAAAGAGAGAGTTCAGGTTTTCAATCATCCCTGCAGCACAGTTACGTACTACAGTCAGCAAAACCAAGACCAACGAAAGTCAAGGCATAAGCACTTACTCTTAAAACGAGAGCACATTTCCATTCCTCCGTATGCAATCACGTTCCCAAACCTACAAAGGAACGTTAGCATTCGGTTACTTCTATACCACTTTTTCAGACATAGCTGGGCGGGGGCAGAAGGCTTTAGGTCCAGGGCCAGCCTCCTCAGAGTTACTTATCCTCATGGAAATCAGTACAGGTCTGTGAAAAGGTACTCATCATAGGCGACGGCCCTGCTCCGCCTCCACCATTTTGTCCTTCACAAAGCCCTGCTGTGTCAAGGTCTTGCAGAGCCCCAAACGTAACTAATCTCCCTGCCCCAGTTACGTAAGTTAAACAGGATCACGTCTGAGAAACGCTATGTTCACGCGGGCTCTTAAAAAAAATAAGAACCACCAGAAATAATCCTTTCACGAGGAAAAGCCAGACGTGGTAGTTCATGCCTTTAATCGCAACAGTGGCAGGCAGATGCCTGTGAGACCGAAGCCCGCCGCCGGTACTGAGTGAGACAGGTGGGTGCAACACAAAACTAAACAGCCGTAAGAAACCCCACTTACCAAGACCACGGAAAAATGAGACCGAAAAGAACAACGGCCGCCCCTTAAATACCATTTCGCAGAGGCCCACGGGACTTGGAGGCGGGACTAGGAGGGACGCACGCGCTTACGTAAACGACGTGCAGGCCGGGGGAATTGTGGGTACAGGATTCGGCCAAAGCGCGTTAAGAGCGCTCCGCCTTGAACTTGTGGCGCGAAAAGAGGCGCAGGCGCTGTAGGGGAGTGCGGCGTCTCGCCCTCGGCGCTGCGGCTAGGCGGTTCCAACCCACTGCGGATGAAACGTCATCGCTTGAGGCTTGGCTTCGTAACCACTGCGGCTTGGCTGTCTGGGTTACGGCCACCGGTCCCCATACCTTTACGTGGTTCCTTGCCCTCAAGCTAAAGATCCATCGCCATGGATCCCGAACCTAATGAACACTCCACCGGCGGCGTCTCGGTTCCCCGCCAGCCGCCCAGCAAGCAGACGGGGCCTGACGTCCAGGTTGTCAGCGCAGGGGGCGACTCAGGTACTGGGCCCCTGGCTGAGCTCGGTTGGAGATCCCTTGCATGGAGCCGTTTAGGGAAACAAAATCAGGCCTCGATGCCCAGCGTCATTCTGGAGACAGATTTTTTTTTTTTTTTTTGACCCTCCGTGTTTTGCTGTCTAGTCTGTTTTCTCCATGATCTTGGCCCGAATGAAGTAGGGCCAACATTAGGTGTCATTTTTGGAGCATGTTGCATGTTTTTGTTCTTAACAGTGCTATAGATTAAACCTGAGACTATGAGCATGTGTAGACAAGCGCTCTTCTACCTCTCCACACAAATGGGCTTACCGTTTCAAGCACCCTATATTGTCCACAATACCAAGAGGTAGGGACATCGACAACCCTCATTTTATACATAGATGGTCTTATATCTAAGAGCTCTTGGGGGGAGGTTCTTAAAATTTAACAATTGTCTAGGGTCACAGTTAGCTATAGATTGCTTATTGAGACTATGCAGCAACATCACTTCATTAGTCATTTATAGCAAACATCTATGTGCATAAGCTTTCGTTGTAACATTTATTAGTCTCCTACTAGTGGTTCTAATGCATGACCTCATTTAATAATCCTACTATTCGAGATGGAAGGTGTTAAGGTAGTCATAGATGAGGAACCTGAGGCCTAAAGAGATTAAGCCGAATGTTACCCAAATAAGCAATATCAGATCCAAGGTATAAATCCAGACAGCCTGATTCCGAAATCATCACTGGTTGCTCTTGAAGCAGACCCTGGTTCATTTCACAGTTATCTGCAATTCCAGTTTCAGGAGATCTAATATCCACCTCTAGCCTCTAAGGGCACCTGGCACACATGTAGTACTCATACATGCATGTAGGCAAAACACTCAAATACCTAAAGTAAATAAATTTAAAGTTTAATAAAAAAAGATGCTGGGCATTTTGATACATGCTTTTAATCCCAGCACTAGGGAGGCAGAGACAGGCAAAGTTTGAGGCCAGCATGTTCTACATAATGAGTTCCAGGCCAGCCAGGGCTACATAGTTGAAACGTTTTGTTTGAAAAACCAATAAATAAATAAATAAATAATCAATCAATCAATCAATCAATCAATAAAATAGTTCAGTGAGAGGGGAGAAATGGCTCAGTGGTTAAGAGCCTGTACTCTCCTAGAGTATCTGAGTTTCATCCCAGCACCCATGTCAAGTGACTCACAACTGCCTATAATTCCAGTTCCAGTGGATCCAACTGGCCTCTGAGGGCACCTGTATTCATGTGCAGAGACTTATGTGTACACACAATTGAAAAAAAATAAATTTTTTTGAGACAGGGTCTCTATATAGCCCTGGTTGTCCTGGAACTCACTATGCAGAACCAGCCTTGAACTTAAAGAGATTCTTCTGCTTCTCCTTCCCAAGCACTGAGATTAAAGGTGTGCACCACCATGCCAGGCTCATAATTTTTTTTTTTTTAAAGAACAGTTTGAGAGTACACTTCAAGTGGCAATGGGCTGGATGGAAACTACCATACCTGTGTGCATTTCACCTTGATGCTTTTGCATGTAGTTCTGTTTGCACGGTAATTTGGGGAGCAAGCAAATACACAATAATAAATAAATAATCTTTGGGCCTGCTTATCTTTCCTTGTGACCCTGTCCACTGGAAAAAGGATAGTCTTTTCCCTAGTTGTCACATGAAAACTTAATACCACAAATAAAGTATATGTCTACTAGCAGGCCAGAAGCCATTTATTTAAATTTATTATTTTTGTTTTATGAGTATGAGTGTTTTGCCTGCATGCATGTATGTGTATTACATGTGTGCCTGGTACTCACAGAGGCTAGAAGAGGGCGCTGGATCCCCTGGAACTGGAGTTAGAATGGTTGTGAACTACCATGTGAGTGCTGGCAGCTGAACCCAGAGCAACAAAAACTCGTGACCTCTGAGCCATCTCTCCAATCCCCAGTAAATTTGTTTTGTTTTGTTTCGGATTTATTTATTTTATGTCTGTGTTTTGCCTCTGTCTATACAAGTGTACCATATATGTGTCCAGTGCCCAAGGAGGCTAGGGGAGGGTGGTACCGTGACATATGGCTGGAGCCCACCCCCTTCTTTCCTTTCTTTTGACCTGGCTAGGCTAGCCTTTGTTTCCCTGGCTGGAGGACTGCAAGCCAGCACCACCACAAACAATTTTATATGTGTGTGTTTTGCCTGCATGTATGTCTGTGCACCATGTGTGCATGCAGTGCCCACAGAGACTAAATGAGGTACTTGGATCCTATGAGGCTGCAGTTAACTGATGGTTGTAAGCTGCTATCTAGGTGCTGTGAATTGAACCAGGGTCCTCTGGACAAGCAGTTGGTGCTCTTAACCACTGAGCAATTTCTCCAGTCTCCTTCCTTCTTTTCCTCCTTCCCTCCTTCCCTCCTCTTCTTCCTTCCTTCCTTCCTTCCTTCCTTCCTTCCTTCCTTCCTTCCTTCCTTCCTCCCTCCCTTCCTCTCTCCCTCCATTTCTCTTTCTCTCCCTCTTCCTCCCTCCCTCCCTCTTTCTTTCTCTCCCCCTTCCTTCCTTTTCTCCCTCCCTCCCTCCCTCTCTCTTCCTTTTTCTTTTTTCTTTTGGAGTTTTCAAGACAGGTTTCTCGTGGCTGGAGAGATGGCTCAGAGGTTAAGAGCACTGACTGCTCTTCCAGAGGTCCTGAGTTCAATTCCCAGCACCCACATGGTGGCTCACAACCATCTGTAATGAGATCTGGTGCCCTCTTCTGGCCTGCAGTCATACATGCTGTATACATAATAAATAAATCTAAAAAAAAAAAAGACAGGGTTTCTCTGTGTAGCCCTGGCTGTCCTGGATCTCCCTCTGTAGAGCAGACTAGCCTCAAACTCACAGAGATCCGCCTTCCCCTGCCTCCCGAGTGCTGGGATGTGCCACCACCTCCCGGCTACTTTTTTTTTTTTTTTTAATGTGGGTTCTGGAGTGTTTATAACAGGGGCTAAAGTGATGGCTCAGGAATTAAGATCAAATGCTGTTCTTGTAGAGGACCCAAGTTCAGTTCCTAACACCCATATTGTGTCATTTACAGCCACCTGTAACTCCAGCTCCAGGGAATATAGCGCCCCTCTTCTGGCCTCCTTGGGCACTTGCACATATGTGGTATATATTTACACAGACTTACATAAATTAAAGTTAAAAAGAAAACAAAAGCAAACCGAAACAAAATAATCCCATTTTCCATATGAGAAAAGTGAATATTATATTAAACTACCCCAAATCACTACCTGGTTACTGGGGCAGAGCTGTCACTTAGGTACTCTAATCTCTACTTTTGACCCATTAAGGAAAATTATCCAGATCTTGGGAATATGCAAACTTGAGTGCATTGATGAAAAGCAGGCCTACCTTCATTGGAGATTAACTATTCTAGTAGTAAATATTTGTAATCGTTTTATTGTCTGCTGATTTGGGCATTTTATGATTGCTATATTTGAAAGGGACTCCCACACAGTGGGGGCTCTCTTCAGACCCCAGATTAGGCAGAGACCCACCCAAACATCTGTATTCACAGAGATCCTTTATTAAGCAGGGAAAAAAAGTTAAAGTGGCTGCTTTCTAACTCAAGCAGAAAAACAGCAGCAAATGACCTTGCAGATGTCATTCTTAAGAAGAGAAAAAGGAGAGGCCTGTGTTAGAATGGGTTAGGATGCAGATAAAGGATGAGGGAGAAGGGGGAGGGGACAAGGGAAAGTGGGCGGGGTATTTGTCCCAGAGGACAAAGGGCTGCCTCTGGGTGGAGGGGAGACAGACATGGCACATAAGCTTATGTTGGTTTATAAAGGGAAAGGGGGAAACCCCATGTTAGGATGAGGTGTTTTATTTTAATTGGGCATGTTAACTAGGTGAATCAAAGGGGGTTTTGAGTGCTGGATTTTGGTGGTCAGCCTCAGGAGGAGGAAGTGGCCAAATAAGGGAATAGACCTTGGTGGCCAGCTTTAGGAATGTAATCTAACTGTTCTTAGCAAGGCAGAGGGATGGGGAGAAGGGCAAGGCCTGCCAGAGCCACATGCCCAAGTGGGCTGGTGTCTCTTCAATATTACCTTGTCAATTCTTAGCCTCTACCCTCTAAGTACTGGGATTACAAGTGTGTGCCAGGACACCAATTTTATGAGGTGGTGAGGTTCAAACCTATGACTTTTTTTTTTTTTTTTTTTTTGAGACAGGGTTTCTCTATGTAACAGCTCTGGCTGTCCTGGAACATGCTTTGTAGAGCAGCCTGGCCTCAAACTCACAGATATCCACCTGCCTCTGACTCCTGAATGCTGGGATTATAGGCATATATCACCACCACCTGTCCAAAACCAGGATTTTTGTATGCTAGCAAGCCTTCTACTAATTGAGCTACATCCCTAGCCTTACCCCTAGTTGGTTGTTTGTTTGAACCATAAACCATCACACTGCAGTTTCTTCCCTTCTAGTTCATTTTTTTTACTTTGTAGCTAGGGTGTTCAATTCCCAG